AAAAAAAGAATAATTCATATTTATGTCAGACAAATATATTTAAAATATAAATTTTTATTAGTGGGCTGCTATGCATGAAAACAATAACTATTTCCTAAAAAATTAACCTAAGCCTAACCCCTCACATAAAACCATTTATTTATTTATTTATTACACTGTATTACTCTTCATGCCAACTCTTCAACTGCTGAGCTGGAATTACTGTTTTTGGTTTTTTGGGGTTTTTTTTAGAAAACACAAAACTGAATTATGAGTAAGAAATTATTGCTGATACATGCTAATATTAGTATCAGAATTAATACACAGGTATTACCAAATATTCATCTCTGCTCAAACTGCATTTTAGGTTTTGTCCTCCCATTGTTAAAAGAGCCTTCTTTGCTGCTGGTCCTAACAGTCTGTCTAGTGCCGAGGTCACTATCAATAATGTGCTAAAATTTCTAGGATTTTGTCCCAGAGTCAGACTTTGGCTTGAGCATTTCCTCTGTCATAGTCAATCATTCTCACATTCCATTTACTACAGAACAGGACTTCTCTAAACCACCGTGTAATCTATGTTCTCATTTTCACGGTCTATTAATGTGCACATTCCCTTTATTTTTTTTTTCCTCTTTTCTCGTATATTTCAGAACCAGTAGTAACCACTTTACCCTGACTGATTAAAAATATTTACAATGAACTATATTTACAACATATTTCAACTTCAGAGCAACTAACAGCGAAGCAAACACATTTCAAGCTGTCCTGCAAACTCCCATGCTAAGAAAATTCTCCGGATTCTTTCTGACTAGCTTAACAAAATGCTACTTCACACGCACATGTTGCTATTCCACCACAAAGATAAATTGCTATTGCTAGTCTAAAGTTAATACGGCTTATACTGAATAGTAACAAAGAACAAATAGAAAGGATTAAAAAGTCATTTTTCATAAAGTTAATCTTCTGAACTACTCTATATATGCTAACATCCTTCTACTACTAATAAAGGCGAGCACTAAGAGTCTTTCAAAGGACAAAGTAACTTACAATGTCTGGAAAAATATTTTTTCTGCTTTAGAAGAAAAGAGCATGTTCATAACCAAACATTTAAATTTACCCATTGTGCCCAACAGTCTGGATGGCTCCAAGAAGAGTCTGCAGATACTCGATAATTTTCCTCTGTCTTCCTGAAGAGATAAGATGTCTGTTGTAGTTTAAGATATACACCACAGCATTGTGAACAATCCAGGCTTCATTCAATTCTTCTCCTATTTCAGCTGCACGTTGGAAGTTTTCCATAGCATACTGAGATAAGTAGTCTATCCATGAACTATAAAATTAGTATAAAGAAACAGTTATTCCACAACTTCAACATTAGAAGGAATTACATTGTAAGGTCAAATACGCAGTAGTAAATCTCAATCAACAACTACAAAATTTTAAAATTATTTTTCAGTTGCATTTATTAAGTCTTCATCCATTAACTTGTATTTTACTTGGATGAGAAGATGACTCGGGAAAGGAATTAGTATCAACATAAAATGAATAGTCTCTGACACTTAAATGCTATTAGCTTAAAAAATTGCAGCTACAGTTCATGCTTCATGCACATAGTTTTTTAAAATGCACATATGAATCCATACATCAGTGCTAAAAATCATTAAATATCCATGACAGGGCTCTACTTGAACGCAGGTACAAGTAAGGCATTCCACTCAAGTGTTAAGAAGGAATCTTTTTCACTTAACAACTGCATGTGTTTTTGTACTCAAAGATATCTCCAGATGTTCTCAAATGCTGAATTAATTTTTAATAGAAGATTTTTCATAGTCTATGTAATAACTTTCTTTTTTTTTCCCTTAATTATCAAGATGTACCATTACTTAAAAAAAGCAATATGAAAAATATAGACTTGAATGAGGCTACAGAATGGCCACGGTTAAGTCACAAAACCAAAAGAATAAACTGACATAGAATATTACTGTGTCAACAATGGTACAGGACACAGTAGATCAAAATTACTTTTTCCCATTAATTTTTAATTTAATTGGGTAAACTCAAAAACAGCTTAGGAGCAAATTTCGGAACAGAATCCTCATCTTCTGTGTCTCCTGGTTTTGATCAGTTTCTACTTTTTCCCATTTTACTGAACATTTGCAAGCAGAGAGTGTGAGAATCTACTTAATCTTCAGACTTAAGGAACAGACTAAGGGATGCAACTCTGACATCCTTCTCTTTCAGGACATGACCACTGTCACAATACAGCTAATATTAGCATGAATGTGAACAGAAGAGAGTTTAAATATTATCTTCAGAATCTTCAGAGAGAGAATTCTCTCCCCTCTCCTCCTTTGCAAGAAATAATCATGTGAGACCAGAAAAAAATCCTGATACTTGTTATGTTCTACTCTCCCTTTTTAATTTCAGTTGATTGGATGGAACAAACTAGTTTTGTAAACTGAAGTAATTAATCGCATGTATTCGAGTAGTCAGATATCACTATAATTAGAGGAGCTATAAAGCAAGACAAAGAGTTTTTGATTTAGGGAAATATATTTTTAAATACAGAATTTTATAGTCTAAATGTCAATAAAACACAGATTTAATAATTTTTCAGGTTGGGATACTAGCTTCTAGTTTCAGAAAAGTAAATGTTAAGTGAAAAATAAAATGCACACTCCAGAATGAAAGCAAACTAAAAAAAAAAAAAATTATTTCAAATTATTTTTTTAGGTTCTTTTCACTTTCCCATTTGACTACCTAAAAATACAAAGCATCTGTTGACAGTGAATTTTACTAAGAAGAAAACTTTTGCAATTATCATCTGTGTGTGATAATAACAATCTGTTAGAGTTCCTAGGTCTTGTTATATATTAAAGAAAAGTACCTGTATGTCTTCCATTCTGGATCACTTTCAGGAAGATGTGAAACATATCCTGGACAATACTGGTTTGTATCTTCTGGAGGTACAGCATGATCATTCAGTTCAATTCCGTGCAATCTTAATAAATGAACAGTTGCCTGAAAAGATAGAGAGAAATAAAATTTCTACCCAGGTTACCATTGCGAAAATAGACTGTGACTTATTGTCGTTATCTCTTCAAAAATTAAAAAATACAAAACACTTTTTCAAATGTTGTACAGCATGTACAACTATATGAAATACAATGTGAAATACTTCATAATCTTACAACTGTCTACAGCTAATTTTACTGAATAAATTAATTAAGAAAAGAAAAAATTCTTTTTTGGGGGTTTTTTTAATATATATTTTTTAATCATGCTGGAACTTTAAAGATCCAGAAATATAATGTCACACGTCAAACATTCACAACCGAATCCCTTGGAAAAAAGTGTTATCACCACTTGCAGTGAAACTGTTGCTATAGTTACTTCCACACAGTATTCTGATAGATATTTCATGAAACCACTTCCTTTAATTCCTTTGCAGACAGACAATTAAACTCAAAATTCCAGTGCCTTAAGATTTATACATAAAATTATACATAAAACAAAGCTAAATGAAATTATGAATTACAGTTGTTCAATTTATTTACCTCTGCATTAATGAATCTTATTTCTGCTAATATTCTGAGTAAATCTTTTTCAAAAGAGAAGGATTTAGCAGGTAGTAAAGATTCTCTGAGTAAGCTGTCACCTTGATCATCATTCATTATAGTTGTACTAGCTTTCTCGTTCTGTGCTATAAATAAATAAATAAATAAATAATTATTACCATGCAGATCAGAAAAAAATCACCTTAATTGTAAAATGTAAGAATCCCTAAAAATTCTTCTGAAATCCAGAAGTTAACAAGCAGAGATTTAAAATTATTTCACTCTTTTTTTTCATCATTACAATTTATTGCACTCCAAACTTGTTCTTCTCAAGCAGTGCTGAGGTATTGGTTACCTGTGATTTTGCTACATTTGTGCAGAAACTTCAATATTTGCAGCAAGTAACTTGCTCCAGTCATAACATGCATACTGAAATTACATTAATATGAATATAACCCATGGCCTCTAGTTCAATTTTATTGCTTCAGTGGAAGCAGAATGCTGGTCATTATCATAGAATCATAGAATATTTTGGTTGGAAAAGACCATTATGATCATCTAGTCCAACTGTAAACCCAGCATTGCCAGGTTTTATGTAGTTCCTAAAACCTCAGTGTGTTTAAATCATGGATGAGGTTGACATTCTGGCAGCATACCATCAATAAAGAGCAAAATAGTGTTATTTTGCTTTGGTTTAATAATGAAGAGAAAGGACCAAGATTATTTTAATATAAACATAAAGTAGGAGCATAAAAGCTGTCACAGTGGGCTCTCCTCTACATTGTTGTCCAATAGTGGGTGTTTCAGGAAAGGCATAAGAAGTATGATACACAAAACTACTTTTTTCCTGGCCTGTCTTCACGGTTTTTCACTCTGCATCCAAGCAATTTCCTGAAGTAGAGGTTCTGTCTGACCCATCAAGTTCAATACTCTCTCTGATAAATCTAAGTTATTAGTCTTTGTCTAAATTTTATACTTCAATATTCCAATATAACCTTTTAATTTGTGTTAAAAAGTAGTATTTTTGTTTTCTTAAAAACTACAGTCTGATAATTTCACTGGATTGCTCTTCCTTCCTAGACCAATCACACGTATTTACTTTCTCCAGACCAGTCATGTTTCATCTTTTATCTCTTTTCCAAACTAAAGTGAACAAGAAGTACTTACCATAAACTCAGTGCAATCATGCACCAGAAGTATCACTAATAGGAACTGGTATGTTCTTTTTCTGTAACTCTAGAACATCTTGAATTATTTACCTTTATTCAGGTCTGACAACCCAGCAAGTCTCTGTAGAGGGTCTTCACACTACAGCAATTATATATATCATATTGAGGACAGGTCAGGATAAAGACAACCTTTCATTTTTCTCATCCACTAATCCTAGAATTAGTAGTAGTAAAGAAAAATTAAATGGAACATGAAAATGAATGGTGCCAATCTTTCTCAAAGATTCCAGTCAATCATAAATTTCTCTTCCTGCCTTGAGTACCTACAAACTTATTCACATTTCATTTAAATACAAGTAATAATCTCACAGTTAGAAACTGCCCAGAATAGATTGCCTCAACCGCTCCACCAAATGCAGCATTGTTTCCTACAGAAACATGCAGCACTCAATGAAAGTATGAATGGATTTCCAGGAGGTCACTCTACAGTTCTTGAGAATGGAGACCTTCAGTGACATCACAGTTACTGTCTGATTTCTAGTGAATTTCCATCTCTGTAACTATGGACCAACTTCAGCAACCTTGTAACAAACTGTGATTGAACCATATGAAACACTTATGAATAAAGATGGGAAGTGTCTTTATCTCCTTCCTATGCAGTAGAGGTGTGTAGACTGACACAGATAAAATTACAAAGCCCTGTAAACATCCAGAGTATGGGAAAGACACCTTTATCTTGGAGATGCAAAACTTGGGAAATAAAACAAGAACATACCAGTTCCCATTAATGATGCTTTTGGTGTATGGTTGCCCTGAGTTTCTGGCAATCACTTCTTTTGCCCTTTAGTTTAGGAAAGAGATGAAAGATGAAGCATGACTAGCCTGGAGATGTAAAACTTGTGGAAGAAAACATGTAAATTAATGACCTATTTTAGGTGGACCTCGGAAACAATCTAGAGAAAAAATCTAGGGAATAGGTTCAGTTAACACTGGCTAGAGAAAAAAAAAAAAGCCAACAGGTTGTGTACTAGAATTTCATCTATTATTAGAGATGATTTTTATAAACTCCCAGACAAAAAAAAAGTTTGACAGACATATGTAAAAGTCAGCAAGCAGCTAGTGGTTTGAAAGTGTTTTTTCTCAGAGTTGATAACTCTTTCAATATGTGTGCTAGGTTTTCAGCAGACCCTCAAGAAACAAGGCACAATGTCAGATACCTCAGAGGAACCACTATTAAGGAAATAAAGGGTAAAAAAGGTTACCACAGGAGCCTCATACAAAGTGACTGATAATCCATTTTTCTTCAGCTTCCTCAGTAATTAGGTATGACAGACATGGATAATATGGACCTAGACAACCATTAGGGAATGAAACTATTTTCTTAGGTAGATACATTCATGTAAGTACTTTTCTATAGCACTAGTGAAACACTTCTGAAGGCAAAGTATGGTTTCAACAGAAAGATGTATTGACTAATTTCTAGAGTCAGAGGCCAACAGAGAATGACAGACAAGTCTCAGGGAACTTTGGGAAGGGGAGGGAAGAAAGTACTAATATTGGCTTTCCTTCAAGTACCTCTAATAAATCAGGAAAAGGTTCCCCTTATAACATTCAAAATAATTTGTTCACTTACTTTTTTTAGGTTTTATTACTTTCCTAAACAAAGTATCATCATACAAGAGACAAAATCTGCATGCTGCACGGCAGACATCCCATACTCCTTGTTTACGTGCAACTTTTGCCAAATGTGCCCAAAGTATAATTCTATCAAAGAAAAAGCATACATACAATTACCTTATAAGCAGGATTATCTTCCACACTTCAGGACTGACAAAAAATCATATAAAAAAATGATGGCCATCATAAAATTAAATTTTAAATCTAATAAAAAATAATAAATGGAAGAGTTTTTATCAGTAGCAAAGATAACATTATGTCCTGGTTTTGGCTGAGATAGAGATCATTTTTTTTTTATGAACTAGAATAGCACTGTGATTTGGATTTAGTATGGGATTTAACATGAGAAGAATGCTGTTAATATACTGATGGTTTTAGTTGCTGCTAAGAAATCAATGACTTTTCAACTTCCCGTACTTTGTTAGAGTGCAGGTAGGAGAGAGTATAGCCAGAGCAATGGATCCAAACTGGCATTTGGATATGCAAATGGGATATTCCATATTGTGCAACGTCATGCTCAGTATATGCATGAGGGTCATCCGGGAAGCTCTCTCTCTCTCTCTCTCTCGTCCAGGATTGCAGTTTCAAGATTTTCTCTCCTCCAGGATCGCTAGCCAGGAATGGGCTGGGCATTGGTCAGCAGGTGATGAGCAACAGCAGTGTGCCTCACTCACTTGTATATTCTATTATTATTATTATTATTATTTTAAATTTATTTTATTTCAACTATTAAATTGTTCTTATCTTAACTCATGAGTCTCCTTACCCTTACCTTACTCCTCCAAATCTCTCCCTAACTCCCTGGAGCTGGGGAGGGTGAGTGACCAGGTGAGTGAGCAGCTGTGTGGTGTTTGGCTACCGGCCAGGTTAAAACCATGACACACTATTACTCTATTAATTTTTAAAAATATCCCCTCAGCATATCAAGAGAGGAACAATATTCTTGTTTTCGATAGCAATTATAATGAAATTTCAAAATGTGTGTGTGACACCTCTAATTGTCTATCTTATAAAACAAACTAAACTAAATATTTCAAAGTCGATGTCAAGAATTTCAAAATAAGTCTTGAAAACAAGTTTGGATTTGGAATTTTTCAGAAAACAATTCAGTTTAAACTTCATCACAAGAATTTTTAGTGCAGCAAAAAAAGGAAATACTTCCTTTTAGATAAAGAATGATGAAACGATATACAAATAGTCAAAACAAAACCTGTTATTTTCCTACCGATTAATCTTTCTGGCTCTTAGAACGGACTACTTCATTTCTTTATCAAAAAAGTTGTAGCAAGTGATGTGATACAAGGACCTAAAAAGACACTTCAGCGAAGTTTCAATTGTATTTAGACTGTTATTCAATCTTCCAGCCTTAATCCACTCATTCTTCTTTGTGTTCTGTTCATATCAATAGGTGATATGAATCAATAAACAGGTGAGTTTATGTGTGAATGTGAGAGACTGGATTAGAAACAGTGAAAGAATACAATCACACATAATCTGTGAACATAATGGAACTTTCCAGACAAAGTTAAACATATGCTTAAACACTTTGCCAGGTCTAACTGAAGTATTCAACCACTTACAAGGTATCATCAAGTAACTTAACAGCTGCAATAAGAAACTTTCCCATTTGAGACTTCTAAACAAGAAGAAAGAGACACTTCTTGTCTAATTACCTCTCTCTGTCATTTTCATCTCTTAAGTGTTTCAAATGTTCATCAACTTTCTCCATGCTTTTAATATGATGTTGCGCTTTTGCACAGAGGAAGCTTATTTGACTTCTACTTTTACCTGAGGAAACTTAGAAAAGAAAAAAGAATTTAAGGTAATTTTTAAGTATTAAGAGTAATTAAGATAATTTTAAAGTACTAGAATAATACTTAAATGGATGAAGTAATACACAAATTTCACATTCATGATGAATTTTAACAACATTTATCTAACCAAATACATTTTCTATCAATATTAAAGTTTATTGGTTTGTTCTGATTTGAGAATACTGAATTTTGTTCTACTTAGTCAACAAAATATTGAGCAAAAATATTAAACAAAGAAATAACCCACATAGAAAAATGATGCAAGGGAGGAACAAGCTGGCCCCCTGAGGTAGAAAATTACTCCAGTGGAACAGATACATCAAAAAGAGATTATGTTTTGCAGTGTAATGACATATAAAAGATGCTTTGCATTAGAGTACAAGTAACTTGATGTGACTGGGAAGTCTGATGAGTTTGTACATTCACATGAATCTAAGTGATGGTCCCTAACGTAATGCAGACTGAGTAAGCTTTAATTTTATCCTCAAAAAATTTGCCAAATAATAGCAGCAAATGCATATAAAATATTTCTGGCTTAAAAATATATATATAAGCAGGTTCACTGTAACATTCAGTTAAAATGAAAAGAGGAAGGCATAGTGTCTTACCATTTTTGCTAAAAATATTTTGCAAATATTTTGGAATGCATTATCCAGCATACAATAAGGCCGTGTGAACTAACTATACACGTAGATGAACTGACAGAAATTGTTCAGTATAATACATAATCACAATAATATCATGTAAAGCTGTAGGGTAAAGAATTGTGGATTGATTAAAAACCTACATTGTTCTCTGGATCTATGGGTACAATTCTCACTAAATTAGGCCAGCATATACATCAAAAAAGAATTAAATGTTGATCCAGTTATTTATGCAATTTAAAAGAAAAATAACCCTACCAATGTGACATGCCTGTTTAAGATTGATGTTTTAGAAAGTAAATAAAGAATTCATGCCTAAATCTCTGTGCTAAACTCAATCTCTCAAAAGCAAGATCTTAGAATAGAAAGATAATTACAATATAAAACAAATACTCAATATTGTATGTAATTAACACAGAAAATTATAAGGTGAAACTTCTGAAAATACCACTTAACACTGACCTTGGGTAAGAACATTCAGGAGTTGCACACAGTGAAAATAAAATAACAGCACAACTTACAGCACAACAGTAAGATTCAGACAAATTCAGAGGGGAAAAAAAATAATATTTCCTCTTCTAGTATCACAATGGATAACCTTGGATCCCTAGTGAAATGGAAAGGAGCTTTGCCACAGAATTCAGCAGAACTGTCACTTATATTGCAATATTCTCTACTTTGCTGTCACTAGATGTTATGTCCCACCTTTAAGACTGTGCAAAGCACTCAAAGTCAAGTGTAATAACTTTTAGTCACACATATGTACACATTACCTTTAGCTTCATTTTCACCATCAAGGACTACTTGAAACGAATCAGGAGCTAGTGCAAGACCTGCGTTGACCAGAAGGGATCTTTTTTCCCTCACATTATCCTTTCCCCTATTAGCCTATGCAAAGAAAACAACTAGATGTTTTAAGGTTCATTTTTATTATATTTCTCTTTATCTAATTTAATAAACAGAATGCAGATCATAGAACTTGGTACTACCAAAAAATACCTATAGGAATTGTGTATCTTCATGTATCTTACACAGTATTACTGTTGTTGAAAGCAACTGTAGAACTTTGGTTGATCTTGACATGAATATATTAAAGATAACTGAATACAAAGTACTGTTCATGCTCCTCATGGACCTTTACAGTACATTCCTCAGTGTATAACCTGTCATTATGTTATACTTTCTTAAATGTGCACTTGCCGCCCGGAAGGCAAGCCGTGTCCTGGGCTGCATCAAGAGCAGCGTGGGCAGCAGGTCAAGGGAGGTGATTCTCCCCCTCTACTCCGCTCTTGTAAGGCCCCACCTGGAGTACTGTGTCCAGTTCTGGAGCTCCCAACACAAGAAAGACATGGGCCTGTTAGAACGAGTCCAGAGGAGGCCACAAGGATGATCCAAGGACAGGCTGAGAGCCTGTCTTTGTCTTTCTTGTAGCCAGCTAACAATGAGTTGCCAATACAACTTTTGTTCGGGTGCTGAGGCACCATAACAGAATTAGATGCAGTAACTCTTGACAACGACTACACTGTGACTTTAGATTATATTATTTAGCGTTGTTTCTAAATGTGACATAATACTGATTTATCTCAAAGCCAGCTAGGATGTTTAGCTATTTGTCCACTGCTCCCGTCACTAATTAAAACACTGTTCCAGCAATGAAATCTTAATTGTTGACAATAATGAATTGGCTTATATTTTGCTGATATTTTTGCTAATGAATAACTTCTCCTCTCTGCCTCAAGAAATCAGCTTTGAATATAACTGGAAAAAATCCTCTATCACAATCTTCAGAGCATGGAGCACCATGACTACCATAGAGAGAATTCAGAGACTTTTTCAAGGCAACCAATCAATGCCAATTTGCTGAAAGCAAGCTTATGCTGGCTCTACTAATATGCAGTTCTACTATACAGCTGGTTTTCCTCTGCCAGAATTTAATAAGCAAACCTATTTCAGCTACTGTTCTTATTCTTCTTGATTACCTGTTCAATCATCATTACTGCCTGATCCTCTAGATGCTCAGGTGACTTGTACAGCACAGTGCACAAACGAAGACGGTTAAATGTCAGTCTCAGATGTTCTTGATACTGCTCACTGTTGTTTAGGTGCATAGCTTTTCGTAAATGTTCCACAGCAGCTTCTATTCTATCCCCATCTTCTTCAATACGAGCTATTTCCATATGAACTTGGCAACGCAACAAAATCAACATGCTAAAGAATACAAATATAAATGTAAACTGTTAAAATGAGGCAAACAGAAGAATACATCTAAACAAATTATACATTTTCTTAGTAGAGTTTTTAAATTAAAAAGAAGTATCACCTAAGATACAAAAATAACATCTTGCAAGAAGTGTCTTATTTGACATGCAATAAAGAAGCCATGAATTTTTTTTTTAAGTATATTTCTAATCGTATGTTTTTAAACAACAAAAGTGATGTTAATACAAGACCCTAAACTACACTCCAACATATTTACTCATACTGCAGGTTTGGAATTTTGTCAGATAATTTTGATTAACTACAGCATTTTTCACTTCCTAACAAATTTCAATATTTGCTATAGGCTATTAAACGGTGTAAGGTTTTGCCTGAAAGAAACCTATATTTAAAATAATTAATGAGGAAATATAGGCAATACACAGACGTTAATTTATTACAAGCTAGTGGAAAATTTTCAAAGACACTTAACATCATAGAGCTTGACCTTTTGAATGAGTTTGAAGCTGAGTCATTAGACCTTTCAAAGTAACAAATAAAAAGCACGCAGCATAAAAAGTTACCTGTCAATCTCTTCAAGGACATCAGCAATTGATATCAACGGCTTTCGCAGATGTTGATGCAAATTGTGTTGTAGTAGTGGTAAGCACAGATTCCACTGGGTTGCACAAACAACCTGAATCACATCAGGATCTCCCAACTGAACTGCACGTTTTAAGGTTAACTCGAGATTTTTTATCACCTCCAGCTGAGCCTACACAAATGAAAAATTAATTCACATATATTGCATTTAATGAACACAACTTCTTACATGTTCCCACAAATTTTAATCTTAGGGCTTTTCCAACAGAAAGCAGTACCTCAGCCAGAAGACTTCGTAAACTCGTAAACTTTTTTTTTTAAATATAATTTTTTTAAAATAATTTCTTTAATAAAAACTTTTTTTTCTTTTTAAATAGACATTGATAACCAAGGAGTACTTCTTTTAAGTACTCCATGCTGCCACTATATATTTCAGGCAAAAGTCTGTCAGCTATTTCCCTTTCTTATGATAAACAGTAATTTATAATTGTGAAATAATTGCGAATTCAGAAGGATTAGCTGCTTTTTACATGTATATATACACTAAGCTACAAATGCAGTGTATGAGAGGAAAAAAAGAAATATTATGAATGGGATTTGCTATACTGTCAATTAAACTTGGTTCCTATTAAATTTAAAAGCTAATCCTTACCTATAGTAACAGACACTCACTAAGTTTTTTTCAGAGGTTATGGGATTAAAAAAAAAGAAAGAAAATAGACCAAAAAACATCTCCAACTACATACATGTGGTAAAAATATTTAGAAATTAAAGTTAAATATCTAAATATCCTAATTTTTATTTAAGCAGTACTAGTAGTGTTTCATATTATGAGGATTTACAAATTTTTTTTTTTCTAAAGGTGAATGGAATTTCTGAATCCCCAAAATGAGAATAGTCATAGATAGGAGTAAGTTGGATTTTTTTAGCACTATCAATTTCCACAAAGCATATTCATACTCCCCCTTTTAGGAACTTTAGGTGCCTCTAACAGCTGTTCTAAATTGCTTATTCTAAGCATCTATCTAATCTCATTGATAATATTGATAATTTAGGTTTCTGCTTTTGATGGTCTGAATTGTAACTGAGTCTAGAACTGACTATAGAAATCTACGAAAATCCTCTCCAGTGTGACAATTTTTCAGGAATAATCTGCATTTCTCTGACATAAGAATGTGTATGAGATCACCCATAACATGCAATAATAGTTGAGTTGGACTCCATGATCCTTATGAGTCCCTTCCAACTTGAGATATTGTATGAAAACATCTCCCATAAAAGTAAAATGTGAAAATAAGAAGAGTGTTGCCTTTCCATGCCTCAATGCTACCATCTTTACTCTTGGAAAGTAATGTATTATGAACCTTAAAGTCAGACAGAAGACTGAAGGGAATATACAACTGTTGTTTATTTTTCCCCGTTTTCTTCCTGGTAGCCCAGTTACAAAGAACACAAAGTTTATAAAGTTTATAAAAGAATCTCTGATCAGTATAATGTAATTCAGACACACAAGTCCAATGCAATTTTCCATGTTTAACTAATTAAAGCTCTTACTTTATTCTCAAAGTTAAAGAACATACCTCAACAACTCCTTTGGTATAAGTCTCAATTTTAGTGCCAAGTTTTTTTATTTCATATTCGCATTCCAGGCATTCTATTTCAATAAGTTTCCCTTGCTCCTATGAAGTATTAATATACAAAATGGTAATTTTAATAAATAAAAAGGAACACAATGAAGATTAAGCCCATGCAACTGCACTAATACAGCACTGTAATTTCTTACTGAAAATCCCCCTATACTAGCTAATTAACTGAAACAATAAAAAGGAAACAGAAGTTGTTGTTTGAACAGCAGTCACTTCTAACTAAGCCAAAGCTGCAAAATAACTTTACTATGACTTTTGAAGTTGTTCATTGCCAGACTTTGCAATAAGAAAGCCAGCATACACTTGATTTTTCCTATACTGTAATTTGATTTCTGTTCTAGTAGATCCTTGCTCACTAACGTAATTAAAAAGGTACATGCTTGGAATAAATGAGAGCTATTCAAGACAGAAAGGATTCATCTTGATGGGTAGTGCAAGTTCTAAGTGAAAAAAAGAGGTTAGATTTTTAACACCTCAGGAAAGATCTGGCTATTAAATCATACAAATTATATGTATGGATCATGTAAGATATTTTGTATTTGGTTTTACGTGGTACAGTA